ATTAAAGTTACATTGGAAGAGGACTGCTGGAACACCTTCCGAAATCCTGAAAGAGAACAAAAAGAGAAATGTATTAGAGATGGATGGGATTGTATCTGGAGTTCTCTAGTATGGACAGTGTGGCTGGCCCGTAATCAAAAAATTTTCCAAGGCAAAGAGATTAACCGGGAGAAGATGTTGGAGCTCATCCAATTAAAGTCATTCCACTGGTTCACAACAAAAAAAGAAAGGTATGCCTTCACTTTAACGGACTAGTTTCTTAATCCAATTGCATGCTTGAAAGATTGCCGTAGGAAAAGAAGGGTACCTAATGAATATCTGTAGGAGGGAGGGTTTGTTGATGTCTGGGAGTTGTAGTCTATGGTTTTTGCTTTCGAGGTATGAATTGCTGTATAATGGGGGCTCCCAAAGGTTTATTGAGCAATTATTGACTGTAGTAGTTTCAGCCATAGTCAATGCATGATCAATGTCTCGTGGGTCTGATGGGGTTGAACGAGTGAGGGTTTGTTGATCTACACAGGGAGATATGATGTAAAGGCAAAAGATGGCAGAATCCTCGTTACGGACATGGTGTCGACACTTTTTTTAGGTGTCGACACCTTGTATTATATTTTTGACTCTCATGCTACCCCTTGTATTCCGTTTTATTAATAAACATCATTTTCGCTATTCAAAAAAAAAAAACACTTCTACCTAAATTTAAAATTGAGATACTTATTAATTGATAATTATTTCCTAACCAAAAAAATAAAAAAAAAAACTCAAATGAAATATGTAGCCTGTTGTTGTTAAGTTTGATGGGTTTTCTTTTATGAACTGGACGTTATTGAAGGAACTAGGAAGTCAAAGTGATCCAAGGTAGAGGGGTGGAGCTTGGACTTGGGTCTTCTGAACTTGGGTCTTCTGAACTTGGGCTTGACCCAAAGTCCTGTCCTAATAATCCAATTTTCCCCTCACGGATCACAATCAAGGTTTTTATTTTTTATTTTTTAAAATATATTATAATTATTTACAAGTTAATTGATGATAAGAGAAAATGTTTATGTATGACTTAAACGTGTGATCCATAAAAAGTAAACAATTTTAATTCAAGATTTAATGCTGTGAGTCGGAATGGGTCATTCAAGATTTTTATTTATTTATTTTTATGATTAACAAATTAAATGCAAATCACGATGAAGTTGTACATTGTTCTGGCCCATTTTTATGGCAATGTATGGCCCCTACAGATGTTGCATGGGACATCTAGATGAAAAAGAAAAAAAAAAAAAATTGTTGTAGGTGGGGGAGTTGTGCGTTACAGTCCTTAGAGTCTTTACATGCTAAAAATCTCACATTTAAATGTGTCCCACGTCTTTTGAAATATGCTCACTTAAATATATATAATGCTCTTTTTTATTATTAAATAGTTTTAAGCCCTCAATTGAGAGCATTGCTAGCCGCAGAAATAAAGGCACACACACCAATGAAACAAAGGGCTGCATCTTAACTAAACAGTGTTTTATGTTGAATTCTCCAATTTAGTTGTCAAGTGAATTTTCAAGAATGAAATTCTTTTGATAGCTGTAAATTTTGAAGCAAACAAGCTCGCTTGGTTTTATTGTTTTGGAAGGTAGGTCAGAGGCACATTAATATTGCACCACAAAAAGATTAACAGTACTGGAGCTTCGTTTTCCGCGAGAGTTTACGGGGCTATGACGTGTAGCCTCCGTCAGCCCGAAACTTTACTGTATGCTCTGGTCCTATACTCCTATATATCCCTCATGGACGTATACATAAAATCCTGTAGAGAAAGGACAAATATACTCCCGACTGAATCGGTTTTGTGTACAATTGTTCGATCTCAAGTTTTAAATACTTAGATGAAATGATTGAAATTTTGAGTTTTATTATCGTCGTGAACTCCATAAAAAAATGATTTGATGGTCGCGCACCTTATTTGAGAAGTGAAATATTCAAACGGTCTGAGAATCAATTACTAACAATTAACTCACTAATTTCTTAACTATTATCTTTGTCAAAAAAAAAAAAAAAAAAACTCTCTACTTACAAGTTTGTCGATATTAGTCATGGTATAAAATTGTGGCAATAAGTGAGCCACAATTAGAAGAAATACCTTATACAATTCATTGTGATCCCTCAATTCTAAGTCAAAAAATTAGAGTATGTTCAGTTTTTTCAAATGTTTTAAAAATTTGATATTATTTATATTTTATAAATTAAATTTTTTTTTTAAAATTTTATATTTTTAAATTGTTTTTAACTTTCAAAAAGATCTTAAATAGTTAAAAATCAAAAATTTTAAATTTAAATTTTTTATAA